ATGGGTGTTGGAGCCTCAGAATCTCATTCCGTGACAGGCCGTTAGAGTTAATTTAAGTTTGGTTATGATTAATCAATCTTATGGTCATGAATAAGGTACTTATACGTTGTGCAAATCGCTAGTCCAATATTGTCAACTACACCAGTAGCAACATATGATCGGTTTTAATTTCACGCGCGTTTTTGGTGGCACTATGATATTGTTTATGATTTTCACGGACTGACTGTGCTGCCTGATAAGTTAGCTTCAATAATTATGTCACAAAAAAGAAAGAACTAAAAGGTTGTTTTCTGGTCAATTCTGTTGACTTTTGTATTTTAGGTAGGATCCCTAATTGATTGTAATTCCATGTATTCTCATGTAATCACTTGTAATTAGTTCTCTTTCCATTTATGTTAGGGTTGTAAACCTATAAGTACCTCTTATTGAGAAGAATATAATACAATTCAAAACATTCTCTTCTTGGCACCAGAGCCAGGTTAAGAAAAATAAAAAAATTATTATTATCTCAATTTGTCTGGAGAACAGAAATCGGCATGCAGCCTGTTGTGCCGTGCACTGTGAAACCAGCGAGCGACGTCGTCGTTGCTGATCCGAGTCCACCGAAGACCACCGCGCATTTTGTTGTGTACCATGCCCGTCCGACCAGCGAGCGACGCCATTGTTGCTGACCGAAGTTCTCCGAACTGATTTCTGCATCCACTCACGACCCACTGCTGCATCATGTACTCATGTACTCACTATGCATCGATCTGATCAAACCAAACAGGAGAGTAGGATCAATCGTGACCGATTCAAGTTGCGTGCATTGGTTGCCGAAGCTAAGGCAGATTCTGATCATACAAGTAATGATGGTAAGGCTTTAAAAATTTCTGCATCTGTTATGAATAGTACATGGATAATTGATTCTGGTGCTACTGAACATATGACTTGTGATTCTAGACAGGTCCAAACCCTAAAACCATCCACCAACTATAGTTAGTGTTGCCAATGGTAATGTTGTCCCCATTATTGAGGAAGGCGATGTCTCTCTCTCTGATACCCTGAATCTTGACTCCGCACTTGTTGTTCCTTCCCTTGACTATAATTTATTATTCGTTGCTCAAATAACAGTCGCTTTACATTGCCTTGTTATTTTTTGGACTTCCTTTTGTGTTTTTAAGGACATTCGGACTCATAAGACAATTGGTTATGGTATTCGGAGGGGAAAGCTTTACTACTTGGAGCTGACATCAAACAATTCTCGAAATTTGACTCAAGCTCTTGCCGTGGAAGGATCTCATGGGCAGAAGGATAAAGCTTTGGAGGTTTGGTTGTGGCATCGTTGACTTGGACATGCTTTTTTCAGCTATTTATGAAGGTTGTTTCCTAGCCTATTTGTTAAGCATGACGTTTCTTGCTTTAAATGTGGTGTTTGTGAAATGGCTAAAAGTCATTGTACTTCATTTCCGTCCAATATGAATAAAAGTTCAGTTCCATTTATGATAATTCATTCTGATGTTTAGGGGCCATCTAAAACTGCTACGTTTGGTGGTGCTCATTGGTTCGTTACTTTTATTGATGATTACACACGTATGACTTGGGTATGTTTGATGAAGTCCAAAAGTGAAGTTCCTTCTTTGTTTCAGTAGTTTTATAAAATGATACAAGTACAATATAAGTCCCACATACAAGTTCTCAGGAGTGATAATGGCGGTGAATATGTTAACTCTGACCTTCGTGCCTTTCTTGATCATCATGGCATTGTTCATCAAACCACGTGCCCATATACTCCATAACAAAATGAGGTTGCAGAACGCAAAAACCGTCAGCTTTTGGAGGTTGTTCGTGCTTCTTTGCTCGAGACTCACCTCCCGTTATCCTATTGGGGAGAAGCCTTTACCTCAGCTGTGTATCTCATTAATCGTGTTCCATCCCGATCCGTTGATTTTCAAACACCACTTCAAGCTCTCTCCTTACACGTTGATGCTCATGCAGTCCCCAATCTTCCACCTTCTGTGTTTGGCTGTGTGGCCTTCGTTCATCTTCATAAACAGTAGAGGAGTAAGCTTGAACCTCAGGCCTTACGGTGTGTGTTTGTGGGGTATGCCTCAAATAAGAAGGGATATTATTGTTATCACCATCCGACGAAAAAGTTGTTTGTCACTATGATGTTGCCTTTCATGAAAATGATATGTACTTTGCCAGCCCTGAGTTTTCACTTCAGGGGGAGAATCAAACAGAAGTTCAAACTCTTGACTATATTATTCCGGAGACAGATAGTTTGAATGATTTGGATATAAGTGGTGATGTCTTAGAAATAAGTGGTGATCATTCACAAGAAAATAATAATGTGAATGAATTGGAGGTAAGTGGTAATGTCTTGGAGACAAGTGGTGATCATTCACATGGAAACAATGTTGAAAACTTTGAAAGTAACGAGTTGACTGCACCAGATAACTCACAACCTTCATCTCTGCCTGACAGCTTACTACTAGTTTCCTCACCAGCGGACAACCATGTGCCGCTAATTATCTCATAATTCGATCTCACCACCATTGAGCCCTAATAACCATAATCAATCGTCTTTGATCCTGGATGCACCACTGCCACGTCGCCTCCCTGACCGTGTAAACCGAGGTATTCCTAAACCTACTTATGAAGTTGACCCTAAATGCAAAACGAGGTATCTAATGAATAAGCCTAACCCTGAATCCAATGTGTTATACCCATTAACTAATTATGTGTCGACCAGTCACCTGCCAGAATCAAATAAGTTATTTGTGTATCAATTATCTACTGTATCTATTCCTAACAGTATGCAGGAGGCTTTAGCTGATCCACATTGGCAAACAACAATGAATGAAGAGTTAAAGTCTTTGAAGAAGAATGCTACTTGGGAGATCACAGACTTGCCAGCTGATAAGAAACATGTGGGATGTAAATGGGTTTATACTATGAAGTATAAAGCTGATGGAACTGTGAATCTCTTCAAGGCAAGACTGGTAGCAAAAGGATACACTCACAAATATGGAATTGATTATACAGATACATTTGCTCATGTGGCCAAGATCAACACTGTTTGTGTTTTGTTGTCCTTGACTGCAAATCTTGATTGGCCTTTACAACAATTTGATGTGAAGAATGCCTTCTTGCATAGAGATTGGACATAAGAGATTTATATGGATCTTCCACCTAGATGTAATGCTCCAGATAAATACAAAAGAATGGTGTGCAAGTTGAAGAAATCCTTGTATGGCTTAAAGCGGTCTCTTCGAGCATGGTTTGGAAGATTCACAAAATCTATGAGAGCATTGGTTACAGACAAAGTAACTTCGATCATACTTTGTTCCTGAAAAGACAGAATGGGAAGATTACTGCACTTATTGTGTATGTAGACGATATGGTGGTAACAAGTAATGATCCTGAAGAACGTGCGGCCTTGCAAAGATACCTGTCTACAGAATTTGAAGTGAAGGACCTTGGATCCCTGAAATATTTTTTAGGGATTGAGGTGTCGAGAAGCAGTTCTGGAATTTTCTTGTCTCAGATGAAGTATATTATTGATTTGTTGCACGAAATTGGCATGTCAGTTTGTCAGCCAGTAGCTACACCATTAGAAGAAGGATTGAAACTTAGTGTTGATTCTAATCAAGTACCAGTTGACAAAGGAAGATACCAAAGGTTAGTAAGCCGTTTGATGTATTTGGCACACACAAGACCGAACCTTGCTTATGCCTTGAGTGTAGTGAGTCAATACATGCATGATCTTGGAGAACAACAAGACCGAACATGGTTGGGGGTAACTTGGTTACATGGAGAAGTAAGAAATAGAATGTGGTTGCCCGTTCCAGTGTAGAAGCCGAATATAGAGGTATGGCTTTGGGAATTTGTGAAATTTTGTGGCTTAAGCTTTTGTTAAGCGATTTGGGTATACAACATGATCAGCCCATGAAATTATTTTTTGATAATAAAGCTGCCCGTGACATCGCACATAATCCGGTACAACATGATAGAACAAAGCATGTTGAAGTTGACCGGTTCTTCATCAAAGAAAAATTGGAAGGGAAAATAATTGAAGTACCGGCGATAAGAACAGAAGATCAGTTAGCAGATATCCTGACAAAAGCTGTTTCAAGTCACAAGTTTTCAAGTTTCTTACACAAGTTGGGTATGAGCGACATATATGCACCAACTTGAGGGGGAGTGTTGACTTTTGTATTTTAGGTAGGATCCCTAATTGATTGTAATTCCGTGTATTCTCATGTAATCACTTGTAATTAGTTCTCTTTCCATTTATGTTAGGGTTGTAAACCTACAAGTACCTCATATTGAGAAGAATATAATACAATTCAAAGCATTCTCTTCTCTACATGCCCTTAAAGCTTACATATTAATTTTTCTTTTTCTTACTTTCCTTCAGATCCTCACAACTTTGCTTCAGCTTTAAGCACTTTTTACAAATGGCATGATCATGGAACTCTTCAAACTTAGAATATATACTCCTGACAGAATTATAATAAAATACATGCATAAATGCAATAATAATAAATGAGAGGTTTTAGGTTCGATTCTTACCAAATGTGAATTTGAACCACATTATTGCTAGCTTATTATGAGGCTAAGCCCAACCCCCTCATAGTCTAGATAATATCGTTTATTAAAAAAAACCAAATAATAATAATAATAATCTAAACTACCTATTAATAGAATTTTATTTGTCAACTAAAAGAGAATGAAACGACTATTTAATCTTCTATCACACAAAAAAAAAAAAAAAAAAGATAATGTAATTTCACATATCCCAATTTCACAGTTTTTTATTGAACCTCGGTGATGTTAAGATATATCTAACATAAAAAAAAATTAAAAAAAAAAACCTCCCACTCACATCCACATTCTCTCCCTCTCTTCCCTTCCCATTTTAAAATAAAAATAAAAAGTGTTGATGAACACAAGTAATAATAATAAGAAGCTACCGTGAAAACAAAGTAACAAATAAAGTTTAATACATCTGCAAATGATCTTTTAAAACTCTCTATTTGTGCTTAAACTCTTAGCAGAAAATAAATGGGAAAATTGAATACTATAGTAATGTTCCAATTCCATGAAGATCATAAGACAACACCAACCATGCATGCATATTCACGACTAATTCTTAGACATTATTTTACAAAAAACTTTCATTAATCATCAACTATAAACGTAGTTAAGTTGATCATTAAGCCATCATTCGATGAAACTCATTAAAATCAAGCACCCCGTTACCATCAGTATCGAAAACTTGAATCATCGTAACACACTCATCGTACGACTTGGTGTCACCAAGTCTGTGCAGCATCCTCTGCAAGCTTTTAGGGGTTATGACTCCCTTCTCTAACTCAAACATCTCAAACGCCTTCTTCAAGTCCTCATCGTCACCACCTCCGCTATTCATCAGCTGCAGAAAATCTTCAAAGTCTAACAGATTGTCGCCGTCCGCGTCAAGATCGTTGATCGCGGCCTCGGCCTCTTCGTGTGACATGTACTCACCGATGGACCCGAAATAGGCTCTGAGCTCCGAGGCTGATATTTTTCCATCACCATCTCCGTCAAAGTAGCGAAAAACTTCTCTAAGCTCATCTTCTTTGCTTGTACATCTCGGACTAATTATTCCGGTTCGAGCAGTAGTTGGGGACAAAGGAGAGTTTGGACTAGTAGAGAAGCTAGATTTTGATGATCGTCGACCAGGGAAACTGAGTTTGATGGTTTTGTTAGAGAACCATTTGGAGGGTTTGGAAATTGGCCTATCAGTTGTTGCCATTGGTAGGGAAAACGATAGTAGCGAAAGATTAGGCGAACAGAAAGCTATGAAGGCTAAGGAGAACCTAGAATCAGACAAATAATATTTTCTACGCAAGAAACTGTGATACAAGTCACAAAGTGTGTCACATCTTATATAGGAAGAGGAAAATGTTTCGGGTTTAATTGTTTATGGGAAAGGGATCCTCTCCTAATTTCTTTCACTTAATTCTCCTCGTTAAACAATTTGGATTCTTAAAATTTGATTCAACGGTTAAAGTTCTTATAACTTTTAAAATGAGCTCGTGTTTTTAACCGTTGAATTAAATTTTAAGAACCCAAATTGTTTGATGAGAAGGATTAAGTGAAAGGGATCCGGATTCCTTTCCTTTGTGTATGAGCATATAAAGTGTGAGGACCTGCAGTGAAATTGCAGGGCTGAGGAAACCAATACGTATACAAGACTTATTTTTTAGGTGGAGAGGACCGAAAGGAAGCTGCATGGAAACTTCCTTTTGGGTCCCAAGAATTGACGGTTCACTGACTCTGTATAGTTCCAAATTCCCTTACACTATATTTGGATAAAGAAATTTAAGATTACTAAAGAATTTTAAAATGACGGAAATTGAAATGACAATATTTTATTTTCAAGAATTTGTAAATTTTCTTGTTCGGTTAATCTAAAAGAACAATGAAATTGAATACTGAATTTGTTATTTTTAAATTCTAAATCGTAGAAATTGGGAAATGACAACTATTTACATGGAATTTGAACTTGGGAATTGAAGGTCTCAAATTCCAAGTTTTTTTTCCACTCGGAAATTCTAAATTTCCATGTTTATGAATCCAAACAAGAGAATTGGTGCATGTTAATTCATAAATTCTGACTTTTACCAAAATTTCAAGTTTATTTCTCTCATCCAAACATAGTGTTAACACTTCTATTTCCAGGGGGCCTAGAAAATTATGAGTCAAAGTTAAAACCAAAATCCAAACATAATGACTATACACTATACATAATGATCACTATACACTTTGGAATTTGGATGTAATTCATATTTCATATACTTCACTACTGTTCTTTAAGGGTGTGTTTGTTTGGCATCACTAGCCCTCACTAGACTAGACTAAGTTTTAGACCTAGTTTGGGAGTGAGGTGCTTAAAAAAAAAGCACCCATGAAAAAAAGCTGTGAGAGTTTTAGGTGTTTGGTAAACTGAAAAAAAAGGGCTTATTTTGGAAGCTGCTGTGAGAATAAGCTGAAATCAAAGGAAAAAGCTGAAGCTGCTATTTGTAGCTTTGGAAAACTGGCTTTTTTTCAAAGCACAGGGAACTACAGTGCTTCTTTAATGAAAAGACCCACTATTAGACTGCTTTTTCCAAAAGCACTTTTACAAAAAAGTTTACCAAACACTCTGCTGATTTATTTCACAGCCGCTTATTCTCACAGCACAACCGCTTATTCTCACAGCAGCTGTTTTTTCAAAGCATAGCAATACCAAACCAGCCCTTAGTCTAATCTTGTGTTTGTTCCCTACCCAGACTAAGTTTAGTGGGATTAGCAGGACTCGCCTCCACTGAGTCCCTCGCTAACAGGCCTTAGCGAGACCCCCCGATTTGGAGAGGACTGCTAAGCCGCCCTCTAATCCTATCATCTCCCTTCTCCTTCGCACATTCGCACATCAACCGCAATAACTGCAGCTTGCTTCTCGTCCCTTCGCACCTTCGCCCTCTCCCTTCTCCTTCCTTGTCGTACCACCTCGTAGTCATCCAATATAAACAATCGACGACGGACTAGTATCGCTGTCAGTGGTCTGATTAGGTGAGCTTCATTTGCCTTGCATTTCAATAGGTAATTTTTTAATTTTCCAAATTCAATTGCTTTTTGTTCATTCCTTTCGGTTTTGTTTATACATTTCAATGGGAGTTTTGAGTTTTTTAAGGGTTTTTGGTGATTAACTATAATCCAACATTCATAATTATCGAATTTAGTAGAACCGCACTGGGTCACTGACTGCAGCTTGTTTTTTGGATATACTTATGAAGAATTTGACGTTCGGGAATCCATTCGCAGCTTATGGATGTTTTCAATTTTTGTGGTTCTTCGAGTGTAATGTGTGAGAAATTCACCCTTATATGGAGATCTTAGTAGTGGATTAGGGATGTATCATGTCCAGGATGACTGGTGTTGTATTGGCAGTGACGGGGTATCTAGTTGGATTGGATGTGTTGAACAATTATGCTATGAGCTAAGATTTAAGAAGAGGCCTCTACCTATTCTGATCATACTTGATCTTTTTCGAGCTTTGTATTCGAATATTTAACAGTTTCTTCAACTCCAGACCTAGAAGGAAAACCATTTCTTCAGCCCTTGAGGGTGCCACTTGTTTTCTAGTGAATATTTAACATATTGGAAGCTTCTCTTTGGAAAATTTTGTGAGTAATCGTTTTCTGAAGCTTTCATCAACGTTTTGTGAGTAACCATTTCTTATACACAATTTATATTGGAAAGAAAAGATTGGGGGTATGAATACTATGTATGCGGAAAGGAAATGCTTGCATTCGCTTATACCTTTTTGGAAAATCAGTATGATCTTTGGCAGGGCTTTTTGGCAAAAGGAAAGGTCATATTAGTTTATGGTATGCAAAAGTGGCAGTTTTGAATGCTTTCTGTGGTCCTTTCCCATATTTGGGGTGTTGCCATGAGTCCCATAGAGTTGATGTTTTTGTTCTGTTTTCTTTTGTGTATTTTTTTTCTTTTTTTATTTCGTTGCCTTTTTCGTGATCATGGGATTGAGAATATCACTTTTATTCCTCATAATGCGATGGTTCTCACATATTCGTTGTTGGGTGGGCGATATGTATTTTTTTCCTTATTTTCTGTGTATAATATGTAACTGTGAGTTGTATTTGGGTTTAGGGGTTGTGAGTAGCAAATCAATGCTCCCTTGTATAAGTTGGGATGGAAACAGTTGTTTGACTAGTGTCTGTTTTTCTCTTTGGGAGACATATTCTATTCTCCTTATGTACATTTTACTGGACGTAGTTTTGTACTTCTCTTTGTAGATTTCATGTTGTCGATTTCTCAACAATGTATCATTTAGTCAGGTTGTCTGAAATGGTTGTTTAGACAAATTGTATTGTTTCTCAACAATGTATTTTAGAAATTTGGTGTGTAGTCATGTTTAGTGTATGAGAAGTTGCATCGTCATTGAAGAAGGCGTTCACTGGAGGTGATTTGATTTACATGTCTTCCTGCCAGCACTACCTTTTTAATGAACCCTTGAAGGATTGTACTTTGCTCGAATTACTATCATATCAATTATATTCTTTGCTGTATCTTGATTCTATTAGTATACAGTAATTCTGCATGTACTTTGTAGTCCTGCTGCTGTTTGAGCTCTGTCATTATAAGTTTTCGTTTTAAGCTTCGTAGTTGGCTTTTCAATTTGAAGCATTGAAACTCTACGCAAGCGGAAAGCTGCATTTCGTTTCAGATTTAGTCTTTTGAGCTATGACTTTTATCTTGAAGCTCTGTTTATCAGTACGCAATAGTTAAGACCATTCATGTCGGTTTTTCTGTTGCATCATAGTTCTTAGCTGCAACTGTTAAGACTAAAGGAAGGCAATGATCTTTGCATATGCTAGAGTTTCAAGTTTTTTTTTTTGGCTTATGAACTAATCTTTGCATATGCTTACTTTTTGGTATCAAGTTGGACTAGCCATTTGGGAAGCTTGAAACTCTGGTGGGAAAGTTGCATGTGGTAAGAGAGATTTACACTCACTCCTACGACAAGATAGAGTGCAACTGCTACCCAAAACGCAGGCCAGGTGATATGAAATGTAGTTAAAAGAGTAAGCAAATGCAAAGCCAAAAGGACCCAACTACTGAGCCTATATCCACGTTGTTCCATTCCCTAATAAGCTATAAGCATGCCGAAACTAAATTCAAATGGTTCTCTTATCTTATCCAATCCATGCAACAGAATGTTTCAACTTAGTTTGAATGAGTCAACGATCTTGGAAGTATGAATTTTGTAATTTATGTATTTAGTTCTTAGTTATCTGTTATGTTTTAATTTGAAGAGTTTGGTTTCATCTCAAACTCTCTGTCAACTCTATATATAATGAAAATATACACATGGCTAATTCATCTAGCCTAATTATACCTGAACTGAGATTTCTATCTTGGTATCATCCCTCTTTGCGTCTAACGACAAACTTTCTCTCAACTTTTCCCATGGATCTTGTTAATCGTACAACCTTAGGATATGGATGTATTTTGTTCGGCCAATGCTACTCTTGAATCATGTATGTTTCTTTTGTTGGCAAGAGAATTTGGTTTTTGTATTTTTATTGAGTCTCACTCTCATCCAATATTATTAATTTTAATAATATCTTTAATAAAAAAGCAATTAAAACAAAACAATAATGTAGTCCTAGTCTGAGCAAACACCAAACTGGTGACAATACTGTTTTCATTGTTCTGCTTCTTAGTCTGACACTGCACCAAATGTTTCACTAAGCTAGTCTAGCTTAGTCTAGTCTAAGCCAGTCCAGCTTAGTCCCTGAAGCTAGTCCAGTCCGAGACAGTCTGGTACAACAAACGCGCCCTAATATCTTAAAGTCAGGAAGGTTGATGGAGCTTTCATTGTAGCTTCTGACCTACTTATCCTATAGCTGACGTGGATACCTCAATGTTATTATGTTCCACAGCATAAGCATAAAATTGTAAACTCAAATTTACTTGTATCCGATTGAATCGGCCCGAAGGATTTGAACTTGAACTTCTTTCAATATTTGAAAGATAAATATAACAATATTCATATTAATACTTATGCAACACATTTATGCAAAAACGATAACTAGGACTATTGGTTTGATCAAATGATTAATATTGAAAAGGAAAATAATTTATACACAACTCTTTTTTACCCCTGCACATTTTCGCCACAGTTTTCGAATCGAATAAGGCAAAAGATAATCAAAGATCACATTAAGAGCAAGTCCACCCCACATAGTTTAGCCCAGCACCCAGTCTAAAAAGCAGCCTAGCATGTTGTCAATTTGCTCCAGCTCGCAAACCAGCCTGGCACCTAGCCCAAGCTAGGCAACAGACCAGCCCATTTCGGAGAGACCCAGAGGCTGGCCTATTTGGCTGGTGCGTGCAGCACACTCGCGACTGGGCGCGAGTAGGAGACAAGGGTGCATGCGGCAAGGCCCGCTTGTCAGCTCATTTGTGTTCACCCGGATTAGGGCTACGT